TCAAACATAAGTTTGTTTCTTCAATTCTTCAGCTTTTATCATCATCAAAACTTTACAGTAGCTTTCAAGATACCAATGTTCCTCATTGGTAACACCTCAACGTATTGAGGTTGTTGTGGAAGATGTTGAAGAGTGTATCGGATATAGTGTATACCGAACGGTTACTAATTGTTAACCGTTCGGTCACCACCACAACAATGGTCAACCAGGCCACCATCCACTACATTAACTAAGGTCAACCAGGTCGAATGGTTTTTTGGCCAACGTTTAAGTTATTGGGCCAATGGTCTAGTAGAAGATAAAATAATCAAGGATATCTAATTAAAGATCTGACTAAAGATATTGATTGGCGGTTTGTGACCAACCAATTGGATTTTAAGGTATGTCTGTTTATATTTTATTGGGGTTGTGTCAGTTTAGGGTCCATGAGACAAATTATAAATACAAGGCCAAGGCAAAAAACCAGGTACGTTCAACTAAGACTCCACTACGTTCTACTTACGTCCGATCAGAACTTAAATACTAAATTGTGATAAATAATTCATAAAACCACTCCGAACTTGAGCGTCATAGCACCATTTGCATGTACCCCCCTCCGGTCCAAAGCGATAACCGAGCGGTCAGGAGTACAACCGATCGGAGCTGGTGACAACCTACCAGTCATATTTGAGGCCACCGATCGGTCTAGACTGAGGAAAAGCGAGCAGAGCACTCGATTCCAACGTCGGAAAGTAGCAAAGCCACGTCAGAAAAGGTTAGTCTCTCAATCCAACAAATCCATACCGAAACATTTTGGCGCCCACCGTGGGGCTGAGAGCAAGCTAAAGAAACCACAAGGAACCTCGCGAGCGCTCGGTCTCAACGTTGGTACTTCGGATGAACACCAGGAAATTTCAACAAAGCTAAAGCTACACCACATTGGGTGATCATCTTCAACTGAAAATGAATATATTTAGAATAAGTATTCCATATGAAAATAAGTATTTAATGATCATCTTCATTAACAAGATAAGTATTCTATATGAAAATAAATATATTTAGAATCAAATGCATGGATCTCTTCAGCTGCTTTTACAACTGCTTCTACCTACTAATGAATTTTCAACTGTAGTCATCCGTCGAATTGTCCGGTCCAGCACCCGTGTCATCCTTTGCTTCGTTCGGTTCAGCCTCTGCATCATCCACCGCCCTTTTAGTGTGTTGAGCTCCTTCAACCAGCCAATTTATACACCTCAAATTAACAATAACCATATAACACTGCACTATCTTCAACGTGTCTTTTAGTTGACTCTGCTATTTCAGACTGCTCGTGGTTGACCTTGGTCTCTCCCATTTGGTTAACTCGACCTCATGTTTAGGCTAATTAGATTCCAATGGATTTGCTCTTGTTTGAGCATGAACCAGACACCTCAACCCTTGTCTAACGCATCTCAAGCAATGTATATCTATACAGTCATTATCATCATCTTCTGTTGTTCTTTTATGCAGGTTGGAGGGTGGTAAAGCACCTACAAGCTCATCTATGACACATCCTAATATGGATTTCAGTTCTGGTCTTCAAACATTCAACCATGGACTGAACGGTCTTACTTGCTTGGTCGTCCGACCTTATAGCCTAAACTAATTTGATATTAACTATCTCAACTTTTGATTGTGTACACTTTTTATGACCATTCCAATTCGAAATATTATTTTGCTTCAAAGTACAAGTGATAGGACCCGGTGTACAAGCTACCTAATGAAAATAGAGCTTACCGCTCTATGAGGAACGTTCTCAACTGCTCATCCTTCCTTTCGTTGTGAGTGTTCAACTATTCGTCCATTCAACCTCACAGGTGCTGGGCCATTCGACCTCAAAGGTACTCGACATTTCGGCCTCACAGGTATTCATTCATTTGGCCTTACAAGTACTCAGCCATTTGGCCTTACAGGTACTCGACCATTCGGTCTCACAGGTGCTCGGTCCCTTCGGCCTTGACTGCTCGACATTTGGCCATTCAGCATCTACTACTCGTCCTTCCATGGCCTCAAGTATTCAAACATTCGATTATTTGGCTTAACAAGTATTAGGCCATTCGGCCTCCACGTATTCGGCCCTTTGGCGTCAACCGCTCGGCCTTTCATGGCCTCAGGTACTCAGCCAAATTTGGCGTCAAGGGTGAAACCTTCCACCCTTTGGCCATTCGGCCTCACAAGGTATTCGACCTTTCGGCCTCAATTGCTCGGCCTCCCATGGCCTCAGGTCACAAAGCACTAAAGTAAGTACATCCTGACAATGACACATCCTAATACGGAATCTTCATTTTGGTCTAAAACATTCAACCGAAGACCGAACGGTCGTACTCGATTGGTCGTTCGGCCTTATAGCATAACTATTTCAATAATAATTTTATAACCTTGTAAATACATTGGTTTGTTTGACTACTCTATTTCTCACCATGTAAAATTCGAGTTGTTATATTTCTTTAGTGCAGATGACAAGACCTTGCGCACAAATCATTTGGCCGATGTGAGCCTACCGTTCAAAGAAACCTAGGAACGTTCTCTAGGAACCCCTAGTTCAACACCGAGCAGGTCGGTCGTTCCCGCCGCCTAGCACACCTCGGTACAAAAAACCCGAGCGAGACGGTCATTCTCGTCGCCTAGAACTCCTATGAGCGAAAAACCGAGCGGGTCGGTCGTTTCCACCGCCCAGCAACCCTGGGTGTGAAAAACAGAGCGACAGTCATTCTCGTCGCCTAGAACTCCCAGGTGTGAAAACCCGAGCAGGTCGGTCATTCTCGCCGCCTAGCAACCCTTAGTGCGAAAAACCGAGCGAGGCGGTCGTTCTCATCTCTTGGAACTTCCAGGTGCGAAAAACCGAGCAGCTTGGTCGTTCCCGCCGCCCAGCACACCTGGGTGCGAAAAAATCGAGCGAGACGGTCGTTCTCATCGCCCAAGGCCCTTGGGTGGTAAAAGCCGAACGGTGTGATCATGGACCATTAGTCGCCAACCGAACGGTCTTGCTTGGTTGGCCAACCTGCCTTGTGAAGTGGTTAGTATAATCATCCGCATTCTTTTTACAGTTCAAATTCAATTATTATTCCTCAGTGCAGGTAAATAGACACTATTGGTTACCAATCAACATGAGAAAATGTTCTAAAAGAACTCTCATCAATCACCACTTAGTTTATAAAAAGTTCCAAAAAGAGAACTTCTCTAGCATCTTGCCATTAACCATTCGGTTCAGCCTTGCCAGGTGAACAACAATCTAAAAGCACACTACTCAATATAGCGAATACAACCTCCCTCAAACTCATAAGTCCTATAGTTAATCATGGCTAAAGTCGAACGATTAACTCGGACTTGGGGGGACATGTATCGGATATAGTGTATACCGAACGATTATTAATTGCTAACCATTCGGTCACCACCACAACCATGGTCAACCAGGCCATCATCCACTACATTAACTAAGGTCAACCAGGTCGAATGGTTTTTGGGCCAACATTTAAATTATTGGGCCAATGGTTCAGTAAAAGATAAAATAATCAAGGATATCTGATTAAAGATCTGATTAAAGATATTGATAGACGGTTTATGAGCAACCAATTGGATTTTAAGGTAAGTCTGTTTATATTTTATTGGGCCTGTGTCAGTTTAGGGTCCATGAGACAAATTATAAATACAAAGCCAAGGCCAAAAGCCAAGTACGTTCAATTGAGACTCCACTACGTTCTACTTACGTCCGATGATCAGGACTTAAATACTAAACTATGATAAACAGTTCATAGAATCGCTCCTAACTTGAGCGTCAGAGCGCTTTTTGCAGGTACCTCCCCCTCCAATCCAAAGCGATAACCGACCGGTCAGGAGTACAACCGATCAGAGCTGGCGACAACCTAGCGAGCATATTAGAGGCCACCGAACGGTCCAAACTGAGGACAAGCGAGCGGAGCACTCAATTCCAGCGTCGGAAAGCAGCAAAGCCACGTCAGAAAAGGTTAGTCTCTCAGTCCAACAAATTCATACCGAAACAAGGAGGACAGGCAGAACAAAGATGAATGAGGGGCCTCCTGGGGTACTGGGGTTTTTTGCTTTTAATTTTTACAACTAACATTGTAAATGGTCCGCTCGGTAAACATGATTTTTAGTAATAGACCATCGTGTTTACCAATCAACCTTTTTTTTATACCCTTATACATATCTAATGAAACTATTATTTTGCAGCCTTCAATTCATGGTTTTTTTGTTTATATCTTCGTTTGGTTACAATAGTGGTTATACTTTTTCTACTTTATATGATCGTTGGGTTCCAGGAGTTTACTTGAAACATTTCTTAGGTTGTATGAATGATAATGCGATGAGAGTTCACTTTGAAACGTTACTCATCAATCAAGTCTAATTCATTAATTATTAATAAATAATTTTTATTATTTTCATTAATTACCCATTAACGACTTTACTTGCTCTAATACTCGTTAATGAATTTAATTGATCTAATATCTAGACTTAAATTAATCTGGTTTATTATTGGTTAACTAACGCTTCTTATCGATCGGTCATACTGCAGTTGGATGATCGGTCACCTTGTTTTATGACCAACGGAGTGATCATACAAAAACAGACGTAATTCTTGTAATGATTAAGTAAAAAGCCTATCAACCAAGATTTGTGAAATGATTTTAAATAGCCAAGTTAATATATATATCTAAAACAAGAGATTGTATTAGCATTATCAGCTTTAGGTTTAAGAGTTATGACATTGGAATTCAAACCTGGTAATAGCTAGAAGCCCTATAATGCTGTATTATTTCTGATAGAAAATACCTCCAAACCCATCTGGGCAAATTAAAAACAAGTCCTTTCTCAACATTAGTCTGTTCATTCGTTGGCAAAGGTTCTCAACATTTTTGTTTTCACTCATTATCTGTTATCAATAATAAAATGGAACAAAAATAGTTAAAATATATATTTTTATTTTCAGTCCACTGAAAGATACTAAGTAAAACAAGCAACAATCACTGGTTAGTACAGTCTGTGGGTTTGAAGGAGACTCTTTTCTTTTCTAGGTCATAGCCAACCAAAAGGTTTATCTGAGCCAAGTTCCCAAAGATGGCAAGTTTACTTGACGTGAAAGCCAAGCACACTACCCTTTCTTCGATTTCAACAAACGTGTTGACAGCATTTAACTTCACATCTGCGCCTCTAAAATGTGCCACGATCACTGGTGCTTTCAGATCATGAAAACTGCTTTCAAAGCAAAGGCTCAACTGCTTAGATGGATCCTTAACACGTTTTAACTTAACTTCATGTACCACTGCTGATTCCAGCTTTGAGTAAACATCATCTGGCAAAAGAGTGAGTGGTGTACCTGAGTCAATTATTATATTTCTCCCTCCATCAGACTCAGACGAGGAGCTTCCAAACTTTATTCTCTTGTTTCCAACACTGAATGCTTCCAATGTTAAGTAGTAAAATACTGGTCCAAGTGAGAGCATTGGAGTTGATACAGTCCCTTTCCCCGAAACCACAGCAGCATCTCCAAAATTGAGTCTGCTAGAAGTATTAGACGTTGATGCCAAACAATAGGAAAATTTTCCACCAATTGAAGAACCCAATTGAGATATCAATGACACAGGTCCTCTTCCAAGGCCAACTACACCAGAACCCTTCCCGTCAAAGGACACAGTGTTGTTTCGTCCACATCCTATGACAGTTCTTGGAAATTGGATTGAAGAGCCATTGGTGGAGTCTAAAGTGAGGATCTCCTCACTGAGATCTCCTTGTGACTGTGACCCATCACCATAGGAAATGGTATATTCACAATTGTCTCCATCTTTAGTGGTACCTTTCACTGATTTACATATTCTAGAAGAGTAAGAAAGGGTTCTATATGTACTGGATTTTGAAGGGTCAAACATTGGAGTGGTTTGGTTGTAACATGTTTTACAAGGTTTACACTGCAACCAAGTTATGTCACTGCCTGTATCAGCAATACCATAAACTTGAAATGGTGGGGTTCCAACTGAATAGCTCAAAAGGTATTCAACATCATTTTGTGTTAAATTGGCCCTAGGTGTGTTTTGGTTGAAATGATTGGCACGATTAATGGAACGACGCACTGCATTAGAAACTCGTTGGAATTGAGTTTCTGTGGGACGATGCAACGGTGATTTTGATGAGTCACGGTGGATGATTTCCACACTGAACCCACCTTTGTGAGCCTCTAAAGAAGAGATGCTGTGAAGAGACAGCAGAATAAGAATTAGGATTGAGGAACGTGACATTGTTGTCATCAAAGTCTTCAAATTTGTAATATTAGCACATTCCTAAGTCACAATTTATAAGGTCTTAGTGATACATTCAACGTTTGTTGAAGCGTGTGTGAGAACAAATTTGACAACCACTGAAATTCGTGGACGCGGATTGAAAGGTCATGTTTCATACTAACCTCATTGGTGTTTTAGTTCTGAAAAATGATTCACACCTACATTTTTTTAATTTTATTTGAGACCATTTTTCTTTATTTTTTACTTTCTTCTTTCTTAAAAAAAATATACACACATCAATTTTTACATTCATTTGACTTTATTCTTTTTTTATCTTTTCTTTCTTAAAAATACACAAAAATTTACACTTTTATAACTGTTTTATCTTTATATTGCGGGTCAAATGAATGTAAAATTGTGTCATAGTACCATTGTTTTTTTTAAAAAAATACAAAAGTTTACACTTTTATGTCTTTTTTATCATTTTACTCTGTGTCAAATGAATGTAAATTGTGTTATGATACCATTACTCTTTAGTTTTATGCATAAAATTTAAAGTGACATTAAAATTATTAAATTTTAAAGTTTGTTTTTATTTCTATATTATTATATAAAGATAATTCTTCTTTTATATATATATATATCTGTC